CCCCAAAACCCCAAAACCCCAAAACCCCAAAACCCCAAAACCCCAAAATATTTCAAACAAGTTGAAATAGACTCTATTACGACTAAGAAATATGCTTTTGCAACTCTGTATTCCATTCAAGTTGCTTCTACCGTGTCCATATCTAATTCTGGTTTAACATAGAGTATCTACAATCCTTCTTAGTGTTGTTCACTCCTTGAAAAGTGTTCTGGCCCATTACTGATCCTAATGATTGAGTATTTCCTCTATTGAAAGGATCAGAATTGCAATATGTCATCGCCATCATTGGTTGCATGACATTCCCTTTCATATTTCTTACATTAGGGCTTATATACATCTGATTGTTACCCAAGGTATGAAGGTTGTTTACATCCATCTGGTTGGGAGATGAAATCTCTATCTCTCAAGGGCCCTCAGGGATGAATAAATCTATTCCATCCTGGTGTTGCACCTTCTGATAAGGAATAGAGGACTTAACTCTCTCTGTCTGAATAATCACTTTATTTCTTGCCAAGCATGATCATAATAAAATCTTTTTGAGTGTTTTGTGCTGAACTTACAGCTTGCTTAGATCTCTCTTTAAATAATTTTGAAGATTGATCTGCCTTTATAAAGTCAGAATTTGCCTGAGTGAGAGTCTTGACATTACTTTGAGACTCTCTTTCAATTCAAGCTAACATCCCTGAATCGGTGTTTTTGTGAGGTCTTTTCTCGCTGCTCATAGAGGGCGGGAAAGAATCTTGAAAGTTCATTTCAATGCACTTCTCAGTACTCTTCAAGTTTCTTTTATTTAAACTTCTCAATACTTGGGGAGCAATACCCAAATTCATATTTGGGGGAGCTGAAAGGATTTGATTTACTGCTTATTCCAGAATCTGTGTCTCAGTAAGTCTTACAGCCACTTTCTTCAGAGCTTATTTGAGCTTCAGCTAAATTCTTTTAAATGAAAAAACCACCTCAGTAGACTTGAATTGATAAAAAGGTGATGCATCTCACATATTTTTGAGCACACATCCCATGGGGTCGTCAGTTTGAAAGTCCTTTCTAATCTGATCAAGGTATTTATGAAAGTGAGATCTAATCTGGATGCTGGACCTTGTCGGAATCTATCAAAATAAGATAAAATATTGTGTCTGAATTACCATTGCTTCAAGGGTATCCCAGTCCTTTCCATACTTCTTGAGGCCTAAACAGTCACACACCGGGTTACAGTTGACAAAAATATCGTGTTCTTCGTAGGACCATCTTCCTTTGTTCCTGACTCTTGGACTGTAATGCGCTGCCTATATGCCACAAGAGCTCAAATATTCAAGGCTTAATGAATCGAGAAGAATAAAGAAAAGAACAGTATTTTACCAATTTTTGTTAAGGTTTTTGACATGCTTCATTATTATTTTGGAAATATGGGGTTTTGGGGTTTTGGGGTTTTGGGGTTTTGGGG